CCCTTATATGAGGTGTCTATAAAGTAGTCAGACTTACAGATGCAGAAAATATGGTGGTTACCATAGGACAGAGGAAGGGGGGGAAATAGGGAGTTGTTAAATGAATATAAAGTTACGGTTATACAAGATGAATAAGTTCTGGAGATCTGCTGTACCACATAGTGCCTATAGGTAACCAGATGGTGTTGCACACTTAAAAACTTGGTAAGAAGGTAGATGTCTTGTCGAGTGTTCTTAGCACACGAATAAAACCCCAAACCAAAGAAATATAAGGAATCTTTTGGGAAGCGATGGATGTGTTTACCTTGATTGTGGTGGTGGTATCCCAGGTGTATGTGTATGTCCAAACTCATCAAATTGTATACATTAAATATTACCCTATGTGATTGTGGTGGGGAAGAGTAATGGAATACAAGACGTAAAAGATGGTTAGCGTTAGATTGAGGATTTTGTATGTTGGACAAAGGAATTTATGGTTCATTTTATAGTCCAGTATTTATTTGCTATTTTAAACATTAAGTTATTTGAATTATTTGAACTGTCATCACTACAAACCAAAGCAGTGTCAATTTTTATATATTCTTTTTTAAATAATGCTCTCTTGAAGTTTAGACATATCTTTTTTCCTTTTAATGTTTGTTTATTTTTGAAAGAGAGACAGAGCATGAGCAGGGGAGGGGCAGAGAGAGAGGGAGACACAGAATCTGAAGCAGGCTCCAGGCTCTGAGCTGTCAGCACACAGCCCGACATGGGGCTCAAACCCCTGAACCATGAGATCATGACCTAAGCTGAAGTCGGATGCTCAATCGGCTGAGCCACCCAGGTGCCCTGAGAAATATCTTTTTTTTTAAAAAAAAGGTTTAAAAAAGTATTTATGTATTTATTTTGAGAAAGAGACTGCATGAGCAGGGGAGAGGCAGAGAGAGAGAGGGAGAGAGAGAATCCCAAGCAGGCTCCATGCTCAGCCCGGAGCCCCACCTGGGACTTGATCCCATGACCATGAGATCATGACAAGAGTCAGGTGCTTAACCAACTGAGCCACCCAGGTGCCCTAGAAATATTTTGTACCTTATCTTCTAGATGCTTACCACTGACTAGCTGAGAACTATGAATGGTGGCAGTCGGGACCCATTAAATGTTACAAAACAAGTTGCAAGGAAGTAATGCAGTATAGTTTTATGAAGGTGACCATTAACAATGTAGAGGATGCTTAGGAAAAGGTGATGTTTGGAATCAGAGAAGCTAGGTTGTGGAGAGCTTGAACTAATTCTGTGGCTGTAGAGAGAAGATAGATTCAAGAGATATTTGAATTTAGGATTGCCCAAATTTGGTGGTTGGATTTGGAGAGGTTGGCATTAAGGATAATTCTGAGGCTTCAGGCTTAGATTTAGACTTGGTTTTGATTGTTAACCAAAATTCAGAATATAGGAAAAGAAACAGATTTGTGGTTTAAATATTAGGGGTTTAAATTTTAGTTGTTAAGCATTCTATTTTCATTGACCAACCACCAGAATATTCAGTAGCTTACTGCTGTGTTTGGGATCTGAGGTATTCCAGCTGAATGGCCTCTTTTTTTTTTTTTTTTTTTTTTTTTTTTCCTAGCTGGGTGTCCTGTTAAGTCCCATGTGCTGTCCTATCCTGATGAGCTAGGCTGGACAATGCAGAAAACTCAAAGACTTTTGAATCTTAAAACAAACAAAAAAAACCTTTGCTTTATAGAAAGTTATAGAAATTTAAGGTAATATATAAAAGTAAAGAGAATAATTACAAACAAAATCCTTATGTACCCGTTATCTGGCTTTAACAGTTATCAAACATAGCCAGGCTTGTTTTATGTCTTCTTTCTCTATTTCCTCCCAATTATTTTGAAGCAGGTTGTAGACTTCATATCATTTCAGTGAGTTTTTTACATTTTTCTTTTAAAGGTTTAGCTACAGTCATACTTCAGTTATCATTTTCTAGAACCCCACCTTTCCTGGGGCGTGTGGGTGGTTCAGTCGGTTAAGTGTCCGACTTTGGCTCAGGTCATGTTCTCGTGGTTCATGAGTTCGAGCCCTACATTGCGTTCTGTGCTGACAGCTCAGAACCTGGAGCCTGGTTCAGATTCTGTGTCTCCCTTTCTCTCTGCTCCTCTCCCATTTGCGCTCTCTCTCTCTCTCTCTCTCTCTCTCAAAAATAAATATTAAAAAAATTTTTTTAGAACCCCACCTTTCATTTAACCATCCAAGGGCCAAAGCCAACTCCCGAAGAGAGAGTATGTCCAACTCTTTGTAACAGAACTAGGAGAAAGATGGCTTTTTCTAGAATTGTTCCTCCCTTTGCTCCTTCTACCCAAAACATTTCTCCTTACATCGAGAGAAGAAAATAGATACTTGGTTTACTTGAAATTTCCTACGAGCTCCCTATTTACCCATTGTGTCTCCCAGAACTATTTGTAGTTCAGAACTTACTCCTACTTATCCATTATTTGACAGTTGAGCTGCTGGGTTGCCCCTATGAAAGTGCTGAGGAGAATATTAGAAAAGTCCTGCCTACTTTGCTGGAACTCCTTTTTCCATATTTTAATTTGTGTTACTACTGAGAGTTACACTGATACTGATGTGATGGGAGTTCAGGGCCTTTTATGATGAATGTCTTTTCAATGCTGTTTTCAGAAGATGCTAGAACACCATAGTATATTACTTCAACTAGATTTATCACAAGGTTACTTGATCAGATTTTGTCAGAAAGGTGCCCCCATTCTATTTTTCCTATCTGAAACCACATCCTACTAGTTTGTTTGACAGTATTCACTAGGAAAGCTGAGAGAGAGTGCATTGGATGTTATTCCAGTGTCCAGATCTAGTCCAGTGTCCAGTATAGTTCAAATGGTTCAATGCTAGGAGTATAAGAAAACCCCTCTCAATTTCTCATTTCCTCAATGTTGTGCCATATATTTCCTCTCTTGTTTTAAAGTAAGAAAAACTATTTGTTCCCTCAGATTACTTTAGACATGTTTAATTCCTAATGTGTTCATAAGATATGTGATAATGTGGGTGTGTTGAGGGTTCCCATAACGCCCTCATGTTTGGAGGTTTGCTTGAAGGACTCATAAGATTTATTACAGTGACATAGTAAGGATATACAGCCAGGTGAAAAAGACAAGTAGCGTCTAGAGGAGCCTATGTGCTGGCTTCCTTATATCCTCTCCTCATTAGGAGTTACACAAAATGTGTTCTTTCAACAATGAAAATGAGGCAACGTGTGTGGTATTTCTGCCCCAAGAGGTCCATTAGAGACTTGGTTCCAGTGTTTTTTGGGTGGGGTGGGTGTGGGGGATCATCCTATAGGTGCTCTCTAGCTCATACCAAAATTCACATGCCTGGAAGAAAAGCAAATGTTCAGCATGAACAACATTGTACAGTCTAGGCACAATGAGCCACCACTATCAGAATGGTGAGAACTTTCCAAAATTCAAATTCCTAGTCATCAACAAAGGCCACCCTTGCCTTTCAAACATAGAAGCCTCAAGCCTTCTATGTTAATCTTTTCTGCACAATGGATAATAGTATGGAGCTCCGTTTTGGTCTTATTAAGTGTAATGTTCCCAGAACTTGCAGTTGGGATGGGCTAGTAGGCAGTTGGCAGCATGAATCTGGAACATATGATATCAGGAAATTTGGTCATCTTTAGTCCTAGGAATAGATAAGAAAGCTTAGGGAGGGCATAGAAATTCAGAAAATGCCTGGAGACGTTAACTTTAAAAACGAAGAGAACATTTTCTTTGGAGATGACAGAGAAGTCTATAAAGCAACGTGTGTGTATAGGTAAGGGTATAAGTTTGAAGGTAGTTAGTTGGGAGGGAACTTGGGTTGTTGACATCTGTTTTTTAAAACGTAGACTACAGGGGCACCTGGGTGGCTTAGTCGGTTAAGTGTCCGACTTCGGCTCAAGTCATGATCTTGCGGTCCATGAATTTGAGCCCCATGTCGGGCTCTGTGCTGACAGCTCAGAGCCTGGAGCCTGTTTCACATTCTGTGTCTCCCTCTTTTTCTCTCCTCCCCCGCTCATGCTCTGTCTCTCTCTTCTCAAAAATAAATAAACGTTAAAAAAAAGGTTAAAAACATAGACTACAGAGCCATTGGCTTCAGGTGAAGGGTAGGTTGTGAGCCTTGAGGAGGAAGGAGGAGAAAAGTTTTAAAGCATTTAACCTGGGAAATAGGAAAAGGGAGACGACAGCATAATCAGATAAAAGAACTGCTGTGCACAATGGAGGATCTTACTTTGTTCCTGACTCATGATGCCCCCATCCTTTTTTTCCTATTGTTTGGTTTTTAATAGTACTCTCATCAGAAGCCTTTACGTTCATAGGAAAATACCTTTTTCCTCTTTGCTTCCCGTACCTGCCAACTTTAAAAGTTGGAGGGTTGATCCGTATTTCATTTGCTTTCTTTGAGTTCATGTCCCCTAAACGAATAAGCCTCTGGAGTCTTGAAAGCCTCCATTATTCTCTCCCATTGGATTCTACTTAGCTACTTTTTTTCTTAATTTTTTTTTAAAGTTTATTTACTTATTTTTGAGAGGGAGAGAGGAAGTCCCAAGCAGGCTTCGCACTGTCGGCATGGAGCCCGATGTGAGGCTTGAACTCATGAACTGTGAGATCATGACCTGGGCCAAAACCAGGCGTCAGACGCTTAACCAACTGAGCCACCCAGGGGCCTCTCTACTTAGCTACTTTTTGAAAGCATTATAGCCTGGGTACAGAGGTAGAGGACTGTTCAAGGGAAACTTATTTATGTTTGACTCTTTTGTTCTAGTTCTGTCTTTTCTGGAACATGAGAATAAGTAGAAAGTGAAAAATTTACTTTTTATGGTACATGAATAGTAGTTTCTCTTTATGGAGTCAATTTTAATATAATTTGAATGAAGGTATAATTTTAATAAGAATTACGACGTCAAGAAGAAGAAAATTTTGCTAACCTGCCCTGTTTTCTCCCCTCCCCCCCCTTTTTAAATTATAGCAAAAGTCTGGAGAAAAGCCTGTCCCAGGTATGTTCCTGATGTTCTTATTAAACTTGAAATAAAACTCAATTAACAACTATAGCTTGTAAGATGAGCTGTGGTCCTTTTGTCCTTCTAGACTCTCTCATGGTAATTCATTACTTCTAATTTTTGAGATCTGCTGAATTGCCAAAAGATGGTGATTTGTGGTAGTCATATTAGTATTTGAAAGATTAATTGGAGTGGAAAGAGTAAGTATTGAGGATGTGTGGAGAAGATGAGGTGATTTGAAGTTGTTTTTAGTTCATATCTCAGTGTGAAAAAAAGCTGTTCTGTTTCATCATTGAAAATAGATACTGAACTATGTGTTCAGCCTGGGATAGACTATATATCTTGTTTATGCATAATGTCCTGTGTTTTTGTCTACTATCACAGATTTGCTTGGGTTATCAGGTTTTTAGGTTTGTAAATGGGTTCTACGTCTGCCTGATGAAACTGCTAAATTTAGCATTTGAGATAAGCAGCAGTTCTAACTGAACTTGAGCCTGAACCATTCACATGACCTTTGTCTAAATTGATCTCATCCCTCCACCTTCCTCTCCCTCCAAAAAATGTCTGCTTTTGATGTCTAGTGGATCAGACAAAGAAAGAGGCAGAACCTATACCAGAAACTGTAAAATCTGAGGAAAAGGAGACCACGAAGAACGTCCAACAGATAGTGAGCACTAAAGGCCCCCCGGAAAAACGAATGAGGCTTCAGTGAGTACTGGTCAGAGAGAAGCTTGCAAGACTCCTCTTGTCCATTATTGATACCTCATTACCGTGACAGGCTCTTGAACTTTAAAATTCTTTGTCACGACCCTTCCATTTGTACAGAATGTGCTTGTTCTTTAAGAAGGATATAAGGATCCTCATGCTTTTGATAAATATTTTTTATGTATCTTTTGTAACCTTTCCCCTACTAGACTTGAGCAGCTTCCTTACTCAAATGTATACTGCTATATATACATCTAAAAACAAAATAAAAGTATTTGTATAAATCACTTTATCATGACTTTTTCCCCTTATTTCTCTCGCTGAAATATTTCCACATGCACTTTGTAAACACGAAGGATTAATGTGAAAGGAGTAACTAAGCTTATTTTCTTATATTTGTTGTGCATTTCTCAGTATTAAAACAATAAGTTGCAATTTGAAAGATAAAGAAAAGGTAAAAACCTCCCCCTATAAATACGATAACAGTGAAGTTTCTTTGTGCATAGTTATTTTCATTTTTTATTTTTTCTGTAATTTATTCATTTTTTTATAATTTACATCCAAGTTAGCACATGGTGCAACAATGATTTCAGTGGTAGATTCCTTAAGCCCCTTACCCATTTAGCCCATCCCCCCCACAACCCCTTCAACAACCCTCTGTTTGTTCTCTATATTTGAGAGTCTCCCTGTTATTGTATTATTTTTGCTTCCCTTCCCTTAGGTTCATCTGTTTTGTATCTTAAAGTCTTCATATGAGTGAATATGATATTTGTCTTTCTCTTGACTAATTTCACTTGGCATAATATCCTCTAGTTCCATCCACATAGTTGCAAATGGCAAGATTTCATTCTTTTTGCCAAGTACTACTCCCTTGTGTGTGTGTGTGTGTGTGTGTGTGTGTGTGTGTGTGTGTGTGTGT